TATAATGAGATTGTGACAATGCTAGACCTTGAGAAGTCTTATGGATCTTAATTCCCAGAATTAAATCAGCAACTCCCAAGTCTTTCATATCAAACTTGCTAGTTAGCATACGCTTAGTAGCATTTATGTTGGCAATGTCATTACTCATTATGAGCATATCATCCACATATAAGCAAACAATGACTATGTGATTTGGAACATTTTTAATGTACACACATTTATCACATTCATTTATCTTAAATCCATTTGACAACATTGTTTGGTCAAATTTAGCATGCCATTGTTTGGGTGCTTGTTTTAATCCGTAAAGGGACTTAACAAGTCTACAGACCTTCTTTTCTTTACCTGGAACCACAAACCCTTCAGGTTGTTCCATGTAGATCTCTTCCTCCAACTCTCCATTTAAGAAGGCCGTCTTAACATCCATTTGATGAATTTCAAGACCATAAACTGCAGCTAACGCTACTAACGTTCGTATGGATGTAATTCTTGTAACTGGGGAGTATGTATTAAAATAGTCAAGACCTTCTCGTTGTCTATACCCTTTGACCACAAGTCTTGCCTTATACTTGTCAATAGTGCCATCATCTTTCATTTTCCTCTTAAAGATCCATTTAGAACCCAACGGTTTATTTCCAGGAGGAAGATCAACCAATTCCCATGTATGTTGTTCAGTATGGATTCTATTTCACTATTGACTGCCTCTTTCCATAACAATGATTCCGAAGAAGACATAGCTTCTTTAAATGTTTGAGGCTCATTTTCCAATAAGAAAGTCACAAAATCTGGTCCGAATGAAGTAGACGTTTTTTTGACGTTTACTACGTCTTGGATCCTCCTGATTAAGTGTACTTTCTTTTGTTTCTTCCCGAGGTTGTTTAGATCCTTCACCAATCGACTCACATTCCTTTTTATACGGATATATATTTTCAAAGAACTCAACATTATCTGATTCTATAACCGTATTATTATGAATGTCGGGATTTTCTGATTTATGAACCAGAAATCGATATGCTTTACTATTAGTCGCATATCCTATGTAAACACAATCAACGGTTTTCGGTCCTATTTTTACCCTTTTGGGTTTAGGAACTTGCACTTTTTCCAAACACCCCCACACTTTAAAATAATTCAAGTTGGGCTTCCTTCCTTTCCATTTTTCATATGGAATGTATTGTGTTTTGCTATGGGGTACTCGATTTAGTATTTGGCTAGCCGTAAGAACAGCTTCCCCCCACAAGTTCTGTGGCAAACCAGAACTTATCAATAATGTGTTCATCATCTCCTTTAATGAACGATTCTTTCTTTCTGCAATCCCATTGGATTGGGGCGTGTAAGGGGCCGTTGTTTGATGAATAATTCCATATTCTAAACATATTTGTTCAAAAGGAGATTCATATTCACCACCCCTATCACTTCTTATCATTTTGATTTTTTTGTTAAGTTGCGTTTCAACTTCATTTTTGTATTGCTTGAATGCGTCTATTGCTTCATCTTTACTATTAAGTAAGTAAACATAGCAATATCTAGTACTATCGTCAATAAAAGTTATGAAATACTTCTTTCCACCGCGAGATGGTATTGACTTCATATCACAAATATCTGTGTGAATTAAGTCTAAAGGATTTGAATTCCTTTCAACTGACTTATAAGGATGTTTAACATACTTAGATTCCACACATACTTGACATTTTGATTTGTCACATTCAAACTTAGGCAATACTTCCAAATTAATCATTTTCCGTAAGGTTTTATAATTGACATGACCCAAACATATATACCATAATTCATTTGACTCAAGTAAGTAAGACGAAGCTGAAATTTTATTATTATTTTCAACACCCATTACATTCAGCTTGAAAAGGCCCTCGGTGAGGTAACCTTTTCCTACAAACATCTCGTTCTTACTTATTATAACCTAATCGGATACAAATACACATTTAAAACCATTCTTAACAAGAAGTCCAGTAGAGACTAAATTCTTCCTAATCTCGGGAACATGAAGGACGTTGTTCAAAGTCACCACTTTGCCGGAAGTCATTTTGAGAAATATGTTCCCACATCCTTCAATCTTGGCCTTTGCAGCATTTGCCATTGAAATCGTCTCATCGGGTCCAACAGGAGCATAAGTAGCAAAAGCTTCTCTAACAACACAAACATGGCGAGTGGCTCCAGAATCAATCCACCACTCTTTAGGATTTCCCACCAAGTTGCATTCGGAAAGCATGGCACATAAGTCATCAACATCATCATGCTTTTCAACCATGTTTGCTTGACCCTTCTTCTTGTCTTTCTTCGGAGCACGACACTCCGTAGATTTATGTCCGGTTTTTCCACAGTTGTAGCAGTTTTCACTGAACCGCTTCTTGCTTGGGTTGTACTTCCTCTTTTTGTTCTCTTCAACAATATTTGCTCCCATTATTGTTGAGTTTCCACGGGCTCTCTTTTCCGCAGCTTTGTTGTCCTCTTCGATTCTCAACCGAACAATGAGATCTTCAAGGGACATCTCCTTGCGTTTGTGTTTCAAGGAGTTTTTGAAGTCCTTCCACAAAGGAGGCAACTTCTCAATCATCGCTGCTACTTGGAATGCTTCATTGATGACAAGACCTTCAGCAAGGAGATCGTGAATAATCACTTGCAATTCCTGGACTTGGGTAATAACAGACTTGCTATCTACCATTTTGTAGTCCAAAAACTTTGCAGCAACGAACTTCTTCAACCCGGCATCTTCGATTTTGTATTTCTTTTCAAGCGCACTCCACAGTTCCTTTGACGTTTCCACGCCACTGTAGACGTTATACAAAGCATCCTCCAGCCCGCTTAGAATATAATTCTTGCACAAAAAATCTGAATGCTTCCACACCTCAATCACGAGAAAGCGTTCAGTTTCTGGAGTTTCATCGGACAGCACAGGAACATCTTCCTTGATGAACTTCTGGAGACTTAGAGTAGTCAAATAGAAGAACATCTTTTGCTGCCAGCGCTTGAAATCAATTCCGGAAAATTTTCTGGGTTTCTCCGCCGGTGCCAATGCTGCCGGTGTTGTTCTGTTCGTTGATGCATTGGTAGTCACCGTTGGAACAGCTTGGTTCACATTATCATTAGTCATTTCTGTAAAAGAATGACACAAACGTTAAAATCACGTAGATTTTAATAGAGTACAAAACCACACAGGTTTTACTCTCGAGAAACAGTGAGTACAAATACAGAAAATAAATTAAATTCCTTAAGCTTGTTAGTAATCTGTATTTGTAAAATAATTATGGAAAATATAAATGAACATAAACAGAAATGTAAACGAAATAACAAAAACCAATTCGAGCCCACTGAATTCACAGTGTTTCCTTAAGGAATTTAATCCCCTCCTAGTACCCAAGGTTATGGATTATTTCCTCCTAGGATAGAACGAATTACACACTAGTGTAGTGGTACTTCAAACCCCAGTGTTTCAGCGAACACAAAGTTCGGTAGCAAATCACACTTACTGTTGCTTTGTTTGATGTTAAAAGTATGCACAAGAAGGAGGAGAAACTCAGAAAATCGTATGGAAATTCTGAGCAGAATAGCCTTGTATTTATAACCAAAGTTGGGTTGGAATCTGAAGAGGTGTAACTCTTCAGAATGGCTGTTTATGCAAAACGGCCATAGCATAAATGTCATAACATAAATGGCTATTTACTTAACAATAAAGAGGGAAAATAAAGAGAGAAAATTGAGGGTAGGTAATTTTCTGTTACAAAAACAGAAAACTGAAATTTGGATAACTGAATTGGATTTAATATTAATATTCTGTTATTAAAACAAATATTTAATAATATTTCTGTTAATATTGATTCCGTTTTATCTAGTTCACTTATACTCCCTGGTTTCTATACAGAAGCTGCACAATGGCTGGGCCTGAGGATCCACATTTCAATATTATCCTGAGAATCAGAGAGCTAATGAGAAGGGATTGGAGGTGTGAATTGAGACATATTTGGAGGGAAGGCAATGTGACATCTCTTCATCTGCAAATAATTCTCGATGTGAAAACACAGAGCCAGGGGGCTGATCTTTGAATAGGAAAAAGAGTGGATCTGCAGGGTCCCAAATGAATTGGCTTATTCGAAAAAGGCCTTGTTATTAACAAATAAATTTGGTCCAATAATTAATCAATCGGGATCATTTGACCGAATCCGAAGCCGAAGCCGAAGCCGAGCCGAGCGAGCGACGACGACGCGAGGCTTGCCTTCTTCTCAACTCTTTATGAGCTAGAAGAAGAGAAATTGCTTATGTACCCATCAAAAATCTTTTCCTCTTCCAATATGGGACAATGTCCCTTTGCCAAGGGGGGAAACTTAAAATTTCACTCAAAAATTTCATTTCCGTCCATTTCCCATTCACCCTCTTTTAAGTATTTAATATAATTAAATATATAAAACCCAACAAGGTCTGCGTACACACTACCCTCCCCAGACCCTACGGTATAGGATATTACTAGATATGTTGTTGTTGTCGTCTTAGAATGCCACATTTACTAGAAAATACAAAATTCAAAACCAGTTTATATGCGCAGTAACTTATCCTGTTCTTAGCTGAAATGTTTTATCCATCAGAAAATTATGGATTCTATATCAGATTATCAGTGGCAGGCAGCCATGTATATATTCACCTTATGGATTATAATTATTTTCAGATTACCAACTCATGCTTATTATGATCAATAATCGTTAGTTGACTTTGAAATAACTGTAATTTTAAAAATATTAATATTAATTTTTGAACTCTTTCTGTATTTCAAATAAAATGAACCAGGTTAATAGATTTTTAACCACAACAAAAACTATTCTCTCTGTGGACCTAACTCACTCTGATTTTTCACCTTCAAAATTAATGTGTAATAGCAGGAAATGGAGATAACTTTTACTTGTGAGGAGCTATGAATTTGTGGCTACATTTGCAAATAGAATGATATTAGAGCACATACGTGAATGTGTATGGATATTGTCTTGAAAAGGTCAGTCAGTACAATATTGTCCACCTATTGATTATCTTCTCTATATAATAATATCTATAACCTACTAACAAATATAACCAACATTTCCAGGGCAAGAAAAGAATATTTACATCATTAACCAACTCTTACTTCAAAAATGGAAATTTTGAAGGATGATTGCCATGTTCTAATTATAACATTTCCAGGACAAGGAAACATTAATCCATGCATTCAATTTTCCAAACGTCTAGTCAAATTAGGAGTGAATGTCACATTCTCCACAAGTCTAACAGCTTTCAATCGCATCACAAATCTTCCAACCATAGAAGGATTAACATTTGCTCCTTTCTCTGATGGTTTTGATGGCAACTTCAAAGGGTCTATGAATAACTTCCACGAGTTCAATAATTCATTCAGGACTCATGGTTCGGAGTTTATGATCAATTTGGTCAAAACCAGGGCAAAAGAGGGCAACCCCTTTAAACGTATTATTTACACGACCTTGACTGGTTGGGTTGGTTTACTAGCCACGAGCATAAACGTTCCATCGACGTTTCTTTGGATTCAACCAGCCACAGTTTTGGATATTTACTACTATTTTTTCAATGGTTATGAGGATACTATCAAGAATTTTCCAAAGGATAAATTTTTAGAGCTTCGTGGGCTGCCTTTGTTATCCCCTCGGGATTTGCCTTCGTTCGTATTTGCTGATTCAAATGATTGGACATTATTGTCAATGAAAGATCATGTTGAGTTAATGGACAGCGAGATAAACCAAAGGGTGCTTGTGAATACTTTTGATGCTTTAGAACCTGATGCGTTGAGTGTTTTAAAGAATGTGAATATGGTTGGAATTGGCCCTTTAATTCCTTCAGCTTTTCTTGATGGAAATGATAGTTCTGATACTTCATTTGGAGCTGATATGAGACAGGATTCAAGGGATTATATTGAGTGGTTGGATTCTAAGGCTAAAGAATCTGTAATATATATAGCATTTGGTAGCTATTCTATGATACCAAATCAACTTATGGAAGAGATTGCTCAAGGATTAGTATTGTGTAAAAGGCCATTTTTGTGGGTAATTAGAGAGGGGCAAAATGGGGAAAAGCCATTTGAAAAGTTGAGTTGCAAAGAGGAATTGGAAGAGTTAGGGAAAACTGTTTCTTGGTGTTCACAAGTGGAGGTTTTACAACATCCTTCTTTGGCTTGTTTCTTGACTCATTGTGGATGGAATTCGACTATTGAGAGCTTAGCTTCGGGGGTGCCAGTTGTGGCGTGTCCACTCTGGACCGATCAATTATGCAACGCGAAGCTTATTCAAGATGTTTGGAAGACGGGAGTCAGAGTAAACGCCAATGATGAAGGCGTTATTGAGAGGAATGAGTTCGAGAGGTGTATAGAGATTGTGGTTGGAGATGGGGAAAAGGGGAAAGAATTAAGAAAGAATGCTAAGAAATGGAGGAATTTGGCTAAGGATTCTATGAAAGAAGATGGTTCATCTAATGTCAATCTCAAGGCTTATGTTCATGAGGTTTTGCTTGGTGAATAAATCATTCGTAAGTTGAAAGAAAAAGGTAAGGCCAACGTGGTAATCTTTCTCGTTTAGATTTAACTTATATACATTGACGACGTAAAAGCATTTAGTATTATTAGTGCATTTAATATGTTGCAGTCAATACCTGCTTTAGTAACTAAAATCACGTTTTAATATAGCCTTAATACTCTCTATATGTAGTGAAACCAATTTTCTTGGGAATAGGAGAAATAATCTGTCATCTAACATGAATCTTTTTCTATTAGCGGCTTTAACTATAAATTTAGCTTCCTCTTGATCTACGAATCATGGAATACGTAATTGAAATATGCATCTGGAATTAAATCATATTGGTATAAAGAGTCGGAAAAGAAAAAGAAAAGGAAAAGTACAAGCTGTAGCATATTGATAAATGTAATTATCGTTACGCTGACCATCAGGTCGTAAAAGTTCGTTTATGAAATTGGATGTGCATGTATCTCAAACATTTAGTACATGACACATGTTTGTAGCCAAACAAGTGAGAAACTCTCATCTACGATACCTCGACATACTATCAAGTATTGAACTGATTTTATAAATAAGTAATAGCGCGTTTGAATACAAGTGCTAAGACATAGTAATAAGTTATACTGCCTTAGTTGTAAGTCTAGATTAATTTGATACTTGTGCAAATACGATAAACACTTCGAACACAAAAAGACACATCTAATTCAGTAATTTGCAATCCAAATTGCTCTGTAGTCTGCTTTCTTTCTGTTCTATTTTTGGTCTGTTTCTTGTTTTGGTTTGGTGGGGGTGGGGGGGGG